TATAGTTATAGCCAATATTAAATAAACAGGAGTCTATACTCATGCTACTAGCAAGGTAAGACTGTTTTGGCACAGCAGTGATAAAGTTGAAATGTTTTGCTTGTTCGGCAGCTTCATTTTGTGTCATAGCCTGCTCACATAAGCTAATTAGCCCTAAAACAGTACAGTACAAGTGAGAAATTCCATTCGTTTTAGTCATGAACCGAAGACAAAGGTTATATCTGTACAAGTCATTAAAAGTACAGGTGGAAAATGAAAGATGACCTGACTCAAAAATCAATTAAAGCTTGAGTACAATTCTTTATCTAAGGATTGTGCTGTTGATAATAGGACCTTATTCACTATTTTTGTGTGGATTTGAAGACTACTGGTGTAATCCCAATTTACACAAAAAATTACCTGATGAAGGGCAGAAAAAACGAGAGGCTGACTCAATGGAAATCAGTACAGGTTAGAAAGTCATTATTTGTGAAAATAAGAAAACATCTAATTATTGATAGAGACAGGAGAAAAGGTTTTTGAGAGAGAGAATCTGTTGAATCAAACAGACTTTATACCTGAATATAATTTGGGAATCCAAACAGAAAGAAATAACACACAAAAACATTCTGTCTTCTGACCATCTGGCAACATAAAGCTGCAAGAACCTGCACCTGTGGATGTCCCCACGCTCACCTGCAGATGTGCTTAATCCCCAGAAAGACATAAATCCATGACAAAAGTAAGGTAGCTATCCAGAAAGTTTTAGAACAGCTTCCACAGTGAATGATTTAGGAGACAAACTTCTATCTTAGGACGACAATAAAACCTAAGTGTCATTTCCATCAAACAGCCTGGCTGGAGACTGACAGTCTCCCTACTCCATTTAGCATCGTAAAGTACATCACTTTAATGCAGACTTTTCCTGACACAATCCCTTAGTCTATATCTTCATCTGTGTCTCCACCTCCGGCCTCCTGCCGCCGTTCCGTCTGCATCCGTGTCTATGTGCTTGCCATTTAAAAGGCTTTGCAATTGAAATAAACCAATTAGCATGTTGTATATATTTTGCAAGTCCAGAGAATGTGATTTCTTTCCCTTGTTGATGCAGCGATAACAGCTGAATTTGAATGCATGAATTTGACTAAATAAAGAAAGCTTGAAGCATGAAAAGCCACAACGGCAGAAAAGAAGGCACATATGATTTGACAGAATGCAGTGATGAACACTTTCTTAAGGCTCGTCAGAGGTGTGTATCATCTGTACATGGTCTGTTCCAGAAGCCCAAACAGAAGCAACTCCTGGGGGATACGTTTTTAAAGCCCTCATGGATTTTGTCGAAGAGGGATGAGGACGGGGGGATGACCCTCTTGTTTTCCCATCAGTCTTCAAGGACGTGCAGTTGTCAAAGCAGTTTGATTTATAAGTGAATGTTATATCTCACACTTTTCTTTTAAATGATGTATGGAGACAGAGGTATGTACGAAAATGTTATTAGAAAAAATAAGGATGCAAATGTATCATTGTAAATAATTGCTCTGTGGAAGTGATCAATGTCCCAGTCTGATCTAATTTACTGCTCACGCTAAAAGTTTTGACCCCTCATTAACATAGTTACATGATAACATGTTGATTTAAAATTATTAGTCAATATTTGTCGATATACCATCGAAGAAATAAAATATGGGGAAAAAAGTATGACAAGGGCTGCAACGTAAGTGGAAGGCCCACCCACATGAAAGAATCAAATCAGGTTGTATTCTTGTTTCTCTCTCTTGAAAATAAGAAGAATTAGCATCCCATGGTTGTATACCTCTGTCAACCAGTGCAGTTGGGAAATTTTAGGTTTTCTGAGATGTTCAAAACGCTAAAATCATGTTTATAACGTAACAGTGATTTTGATCTTTGATTACCAAATTTTAATCACTTCATCTGTACGTCCAAGTGAACATTTGTACCAAATTTGAAAAGGTTCCCTGGAGGTGTTCCTGAGATATTGCATTCACAAGGCAAAAAAACGTGTTGTGAGGTCACAGCATATGTGACATATGACCACCAAAATTTTTATCAGTTCATCCTTGAGTCCAACTGAACGTGTGTAACATAAATTATCTTAAGGTGTTCGTGAGATACTGTGTCCATAAGGACAGGCAGGATGGACAAACCAATGTTTATGAAGGTGGCCCCTGGATGTCATTGCTGTTGGAAATATAAAATATTTATTTGTATTCTTGTTTTTCCGAAGTCAGCAGAAAACTTTTTTCATCACAGCTAATAATAAAGCAAATATTCAAGGTTTCTCTTGGTTTTGTAAATATAAATCAAACAATCTCAAACATTCTGTTGTCTCTTTGTACACATATGCAGTCGCAGTCCCATGTTGACTTCAAAAAATAGAAAATTCTGATTGTTGTTTTGTTTCTGTCACAGGGGGCACCAGTCCTCAGACAGGCTCAGACATGGGAGTTTTATAAATTGACCATTATTCCTTACTTTTTTACAAAACCAATTAAGAAGCTGGTCTTTAGTTCAATTAATATTGGATGTGAGAAACTTCAAATGAAGACTTATAAATATATAATAATAATATTTTAGTGACATCATACCTACAGTAAAGTTATTAGAAGACAGAGATAACAATCTGGCTAAATGACATTGATGGTTTTATTATTTATTATAATCACTGCATTCTACATTGATATTACCCAACACACACAAACACACACACACATAACACTCCTAACCGGCTCTGCTTTTACACTGTTGCTCTATTTACGGTTGTTAGCAAAATGGACAAGATATCAAGCACTTTCTACCCTGTAAAACAACCAAGGTTGTGGGAAACGGGACAGTTTTTTTCTTCCTTATTCTGGAAAACAAGAAGTTACCTCAGGATAATCGCACTAAAAATCAATTGCAGGAAAATCTTGTTGCCAGGATTGTTTCTGTTTTTAATCTAATTCTTCCTCCACAGTGCTGTGAATGATCCCTGTCTCACCCTTTAATTTAGTAGTTTATTAGAATCTGTAGATTTTCATCATTAGATCAGAGAAAATCAATTGATAAATTGATTAAAAGTACTCTTGCTTCATCGAGGACAGCTCATTGATGGGCACAGTACCTACGTGCACCGCTGTCACTCTTTTTTCACAAACGCATTGCCAACAGACCCGTTTGTCATAGTCAGAGCAGCTATCAGCAGCCCCTTAAGTGATCACATGAAATTAGTGATCCAGTGGACTCAAAAAATGCTTTATAACTGTCCAAACCAGACAGGCAGAACTAAACGTAATACCAATTCTTTTCCCACAACCTTCAGCAGTTCACAGCAGGAACTCATAACACCAGCGATGTGTCCTTGTCACTCTGTTCAGTTTGTTATAACAGCATCAACAACTTCAGGTGCAGCACTTTACACAAGTTTGAATATGACACATTAACTTCTTTGTTGTTAAAATATTATATTGTCAGAGGCGACATGATCCAAGGGAAAGACTGCAAGCAATCCTACAAGCCTTGGTAACATAGTTTCTTTAGAGACCCATAAGATTTACTCTTGTTTAATCCTCTCAACTTCCTATCCTATCAACTTCTGACTATACCAAAAAAAAACCTTTTCACACTGCAAACAAACTGAAGCCTGATCCAGAAGTTTGGTCTGTTGTTCAGGATCATGGGCCAAGGCACCTTTCTGTCATTTCTGAACAGACGCGACTGAAAAGTCAGAAGGACCGGACCAAACAAGCTAGGTGTGAAAATGCTCTCAGTCTATTTCACCATCTCCTTCGTCATTTCATTCCCTTTACCAATCTCCACTTTTTTTGACTGAAGTGGATATGATGTTGAGATACAATCAATAAATGTAAGGACATATTTGAGGATTAACGGGCCAATTTACACAACATTTGCTCATCGTTACCCTGGAGGGCAAATCTTGATCAAACGCTAGGTCGAAAACTGATTGTCAACACAGATTATCTGGTAATGTGAGGATTTTATAGAATAAATCCTAATCGCAGCAATCAATTTTTAGGCTGATATGAGCCAACTTGATAACATCAAATATGTTGTGTATGGTCTGACATCAGCACCGCCTCAGTAGTTTGTGATGATTTTGATCAGGAGCAAATTGTTCAACGCCGTTTCCCCCCTGCGATCTCTTGACATCATTGGACTTTCAGAGATCAGGGTTTAGCACTGCTCAGTGTAATGTTTGACTTAGGGTTATTGCTGAGACACAGATGTCGGCGGAGTCTTTGGTCAAGATGGGTAGGAAAATTATATCCTCTAATTTGTCTGTAGGATTACACCTGTGTTTACTTGGACTGCCTGTGTCGGAGAAAGAACAGATGCTGTAAATATTTGCTCTCACCTCCCAGTGAACGCTGAAAATGTAAACTGCTTGGCAGATGGCTACATCAACATTCAGAGCAAAGGCATTCCTGTTTTGTTTTCTTTGATACATTTTAAATTCAATCACCATGGTGTATAGGGTACTACAATGGTTTTGCTAAATTCCACAACACAATGACTGGAAATGTAAAAATGAATTTGGGTCTAATGGGAAATAATTTTTTTTAATTTGTTCGTGATGCAATATATGGTTCAATAAAACCCTTTATTTGATTTTGAATTATATTTCCTTGTCTCTCAGTTGGCAAAGTTTCCATATGTACATAAGGGGTATGATAAAAAAAGAAAAGAGCAATTCAGGCCTGGAATAGCTAGATATTTTTGATGCATGTCTTTGTTTGCAAACCAATTTCCCCAAAGCCAAAGTGCTTCTGCAAGAAAACAGAAACCATTTCCTTCCAAGTGGTGTTCCATGGATTTATGAGAGGCACGGAGCAATTTATAGCTCGGTTTGACAAAAGGAGAAATGGGTCTGTACAAGCACACAGCTTTACACATTTGATGGAGTCGAGAACGTAAAGGGTTTGATTGTGAATATTCATTCCAGGGACAGAAGGAGCAATGCATCTGTCTGGTGGACCACTGGGTGGATATCAACCTACCTTGTTTTATCATCCGTGGTGCTTCTTGTCTTGAGGCAGTCTCACCACCCCCTCTCTCCTTCTCTCTTTAAGGTTCTGTCGTCGTTTTGAGCTGGAATTGTCTGTGGTCGATGGAAGCGGCTCTATCTGACCCAGATCATCGGAATGAGTTTTCTCACTGCTAGTATTCTGTAGACAATTCCCTGGCCCAGGAATGGAAACAAACCATTGGCTGAAGCATCAGATAAGGGAAGAACAATCAGTCACTGAATGTGTGTAAACATGCATCTGTTCCCTATTTGTGAGTGTTTGTGTGTGTGTGTGTGTGTGTGTGTGTGTGTGTGTGTGTGTGTCCAGGCATTCGCCTGAGAGAGCTTGTCCATGCAGGCCTACATGCAAGTGCCAATATGTGCACATTTGTTGGTGTGTGATGAAGTACCACAGATCCTATCAGGTTAATACCTCTGTTGGGCCTTTGGCTAGGCTGAGTGCATCTCCATGGTAATTCTGCCCCCAGTGTATTTGTCCTCCGAACAACTGAGGGACAGAAAACTAACAAGAAGGGAGAAGGGGATGAGAGAAAGGCCGCACACAAATTCTCTCTCACACACACACACACACACAGTGCGGAAATGAATACTGAGTGCATGTTAATGTTATCGGATGATGTGGAGTGCAGACGATCAAGCCCAGAGGAGTCAGTGGGAGTCCAAGCAGAGTGTATTGTTTAGGTGTGTGTGTGTGTGTGTGTTTTATCATTGCTGGGAAAGCTGGTATTGTGAATTAGATGAACATTATGTTGAACTTCTACTTCTTAACACATGCTGAGTGAAAACTATTCCCACTTACTGCGGGACATCACACACAAATCTATAAATAAATCTATATATACATCTCTCACTCTCTCTCGCACCCAGAGTATAAGACACACGCATACACACACAAGCACGCACACAAACACACACATATCCCCTGTGCTATTTGTGTAGCAAAGCAGATAGTTCTGATTTTGACATATCCAGCTCTGAAACTTGAGCCAAATTCCTAATACAATAGAGGATAACTAAATTTAGTTTGGGCTAGTCAAATTACATTTAAAAAAATCTCAAAAGTGGTGTGTCCAAAAGCAATGTCCTCTGTTCTCTGAATAATTGTAAGTTTTGGAAAGTCATTCCGGTACACACTGTTGTGAGCAAGGTGATGGATATTTCAACATCTTGGAACATAAACCCACGCCCAGGTTTATTTATTCGTTTTTAAAACGCATGATTTGGGTGAATTGACCACCTAAGTTCAAGTTGTAACACGTCAGTACTCTGTGTACAATGTTGCCGGTCTGATTCTAGCTGGAAGTTTTGATTGCATATATCTCCCTTCTGTTTCTATTCACCCTTTTGCTATTCCATCCCGCCTCTCAACTCTGTATCCTGTTCAGGGTTATTTTTGCTAATGTAATTTTGTATCAGTAGAATTACTACAAGAGACTGGGTGGATGTGGGGCCCTCCTCTCTTGTTCTATATTGTTCTGAGCTGAATGAGTAATCTGTGAATGACATTACAAATTACAGTTTTTGGAGCCGGGCCCTTATCATGCAGACACAAGTGCAGAGCTTTACTCCAGAAAAAAATCTATTCGGCATGTGCAGATATAATACAGGTTCAATTTAGAGGAGCATATCATTATGTCATTTTAAAACCTTGCATCTCCTATTTTCCCATTTAAGAAGTGACAGGAGATCCAAAGCACCCAAGATGTCACATGTCATGGTATCAAAGCTTATATAATGTAATACATGGGTCTAGGGCTACATCCACACCACTATGTTTTAGTCTGAAAACATTGTTTCAAACTAAAATGATCTCCATCCACACAAGCATTTTGGTTCATTATCAGTTGTACTCCCTGTCAATAGGAATACTGAACACACTTGATCTCTCACATACACTAGGCAGACTTAAACGAAGCTCTGGAGTACTCAATATAAAACAGCACCAACAGCGTTTCATAACTGCTCCGTTTTAGCACATGTTAACTACAGGATCACCAAGGTCATGAAGATTCACTCTGTGCTCACCATGAATATATGTATTCTATATATATAAATAAAAATGTACAGATGTGGAGATCAAATGTGGGTTGACTATAATGCAGATGTGTGCGCACTGTAATTCAGACATCAAACTGACAGCTTGGCAGCTGTAGGTGCTCAGCCAACTGTGCTGCTGTCGCAGGTTCAGGCCTGGCTGCCTCGATGCAGCATACACGAGTGTTGTCAAGGAAAGAAAAACAGACAAAGAAACAACATGCACACAGCTGCTGTAACGGAACAGATTTGATCTGTCTCAGGATATGTCTCCTCAAAATGTCGGTTCAGTTATTGGAATGTAAGCATGTGTGAAAGACACCTCAAGATTCACCATGTCAAGGATTTAATTGCTTATATGTTGCACCCTGTGATCTGTGTGTGTGTTTGCGTGTGTGTATTTGTGTCAACTGTTGCTAGTGTACAGCAGCATGACAGCTAAATATGCAGTAGACGTGTCAGGATTTAATTGTTCACACTGTGACGCCCTCCTCTTCAAGCTGATTTGACTCCACTTCATCTGAAAAAATAACTATATGACACCAGCTAAACTGTAGGACAGCATCTCTTCTCGATGACTGAAGAGTGGGAGGGTGTCACTTAATCACAATGTTTCCTTTTATTTCAACCAACTCTAAATGCAATGCACTTAGGAAGAAAAGACTGTTTAAGCTTCCACACACATCTGCCCATGTGCATAAGAAAGCTGCAATATTTAAAGTGATATCAGAACAGAGGAAGCAGAGTCAAAGGTAGAAACAGTGGGAAGAACATAAAACCTGTCTTCATTGAGCAAGTATTAATTCCAGACAAATATGTATCATTCGTAAACAGCAGGCGATTTGTTAATCTTTTAAGGATGGTGTGTGTGTGTGTGTGTGTGTGTGTGTATGTCGTCCTTATGAGGACCAAAATCAAGTGCCCATAATGTGCCCATTCATAGATCTTTACATGTGCCTACAACATTAGTCATTCTGTATTTAAAGGAAAGTTAGAATTCGGCCAATGCAGCTTTTATAGTGTTTTTTTTTGGCCATTTAAATACTGTGTTACAACCAATACATAGGCTGTATTGCCCTTAGTTTCTTTTTGTGGATCTAATCCCACATGCTCTGGCCTCCCCAGACATCTTTCCTGCTTTTAAATGCCAGAAATCCATCATTGACAAAAGGCCTAAAACTCTACATAAAGATTTATTGCATTAAAAGTTTGATAATTGGGGTCAAGGCAGCAGTCCTTCACACCAAGCCTCCAGGTTAAATAGTATTGCAAATAAATGTTAGGTTGTTAGATGTGTTTTGAGTGAGTAAAAATCCTGCATCTGCCACGTCTGTCTGCCTGTTCACCACGTCATTCAGCTCATCTCTCTGAGTCTTTCACTCTGTCTTCAGCCAACACACCTACACACAAATGCACAAACAGACATGCACACAACCCTACCTTGAGGGTGTGTGATGCATGCAGTCAGGCCTGATAAATGAAAGTGTCTAGAAAGAGGAATGAGTTGGTGCCTTGACCTCCCTCCTGGCATGGGCATCCTTCTCCAGACTGCCTTATCGTCTGACAAATGGTCACAATGGCGCACACATCAATCCCTAAAAATATTCAAGCCAACAACCTAAAAACCTGCATTTGTTGGAGCCCAATATAAATATATAGGGGTAAAACATTTCCAATCTGACATAGCAGCCAGTATAAAAATTAAAAAGAAACTGGCACTGTTTCTTTGGCAGTCGTTATCCAATGCAAACCACCCGCACGGGATGCGCTGAAGTAAAGCGAACGCGCCCATAATGAGGCAGTGATCATATCATTCATTTCATTAATTGACCAGTGGTCAACACAACACCTGGCATTCTATTGGTTGGGGAATTTTGACAGGGTTGTAACACAAAAAATTCCAAGAGCAGAGGAGAAATCTGAGGGCAGACGATTCACGAGCAAATTTAAGTGCAAATTTCGGACTCGTTGGGCGACAGCAGTAGAGGCGGAAAAAACTGGGGATTGTATGTGTCTGTGTGTGAATACGCATGTGAGGTGGTGCCTATGCGTAGTATCGATCTATCTGTGTTCCAAGGACATATAAAACTATAATTTCTGGAAGCCTGTCGAATATCATGCACCAGGAAAACAACGTGTCTGATGTGCACTTGTTGTGTCCTGCATTTAAGTGTCTCTTTGAAGATCTCCAGGTGAGTCCGCTGTGGTCATTTGTGCTTTGCATGAGAGAGACAGAGAGAGGGGGAGAGTAAAGAGGGTAAAGGACAACAATGGGCCTGTTCATTATCAAAGTATGAGTGAAATAACAATGACCTTGTTTCTCAAGAGAATAAAGGTCATGTATATATATTATTTCAAACATATAGCTTGTTAATTTAAAGAAACTAACTGACAGTGTGATAGAACAAAGCAAAAAGGACAAATTTGTAGGGATTTGTAGTAAAATGAATCACAGGCAGTTTCTTCTTTTTATTTCTACCTGATTTGAGAACTCATGGACATGTGGTTGTCTTCCTGTCAGGTGTGTTTACTGTTGGACTTACTTTGAAGAACGGTTTAAGGGACTGAAGAGAAGTGGAAAAACTATCTAAATAGGAATTTAAACACACTGCTCATTACCACTTCTGCCAGCACCCTCACCCTAGGCTAGAGCTTTTCATTGAAGTAAAGTCTGTGTAAATTAAAAATGTAATTAAATGCTGGGAAGACTTTAGCACAGGTGATGCATGAAAACACACACACACACACACACACACACACACACACACACCACCTCCTGACCTGTACAACAGCCAGTCAGAAGAGCAAAGGGACTGAATGTGCAAAGCTGTCATGAGTTTTACAATTCATAGTAAACTATGCTCTATAAAGTTCTATTGTTACTCATGTCCCAATAAAGCTTGGTTTTCCTCCTGAGACACAAACACAGCATGCATAGTGTGACTGACACACACACCAATAAATGTATTGTTATGTCACTATGTTGGCCATCTGGGTCATTCTTTTTGTACCGTCATATAAAGGTCCTTGTAAACAGTAGATTTCTGTCTGACTAAAGAAGTGTGCACACACACACATTTCAGAAAAAAACAAGCTAATAATTCATTTTAGGTACGGACAGTATATTTCTCTGGAGTTATGAGAGACAATGAAAAATCGTTGCTTTCACATCAGGTCAAAGTTCACTATGATCAATAGCTCCACTGTGACGCAGCAAATTTGCTCCTCTTACATTTGGTATATGGTTTGAAGCAGGGCAGCAACTAACATTCATTTTCATAGAGCACAATGTATTTATTAGTTTTCCAATAATTCTTTCCATCTTTAGAATAATAGAAAATAGTTCAGAAATACTCATCATGATTTTCCATTAACATTTCCAAACCAAAGATATTCAATTTATGGTAATATGAAACATCCTCCGATATGAAAAATTGGATCCATAGAATATGAGGCATCAGTGGATAG